ACGGCTTGTGGTGCGGAGGGGAACACCATTTGAAATACGGTTTACATTTCAACGTCAATACCATAGAAGAGATGATATTATAAATTTGGTTTTTAAAGTCAAAGGTGTCTTTGGATTTAAACTTCTTTTACTAAAATCAGTATATTTTAAATGATTTGTTTCGTTATCAGATGCCGAGACTTATAATTCAAGTTATGCTCAAAGCACTAGAATTACGATTCCTGTCTTCGACGACAGAAATCCATCCAATGTTAACATTATATTAGAGGACGAATGGAGTGCTAAAGTGGTAAAAGTGGACGGATTTAATGTTTCCATCGAAATATCTTCAGCCCCGACAGCCATTATTGGCGAATACACTATAAGTGTTGAAACAAAGTCGTTGAGTAAAGGCAACCGATCTCTTCAAGCAAACCATGTGTCGGAATCAATATATTTATTGTTTAATCCGTGGAATAAAAGTAATTTTTAAAAGAATTTTAAAGAATTTTATGTTAATTTTATTTTGCATTTCAGGGGATTCTGTATTCCTTAAGGATAGGGATGGAAGAGAGGAATATGTGTTAAATGAAAGTGGAATTATATGGAGAGGTACTCATGAAAAGATGAAGCCCACGCCCTGGAACTTTGCACAGGTATGTTTTGTACCATTTGTAACTGTAATGCTATTTTAGAAATATGTCTCTAAATTAATATAATATAATTGTAAAGCGTTTTCAATTGTCAGATATCGCCCACGAATGGGCGGTTTTCGCTAATTTTATTGATATTATTTATATACTCACAACTCTATGCAATAGTTAATTGTAATCATATTCAGAATATAATTGTTTGTTTTTATTTAAATTTAAATAAAAATAAAATTCTCTGTTTGTTTGAATTGCAAATAAGTAATTATCCGTTTTGTTTTCAAAATCATTGAAAAGGGAGTAAGAGTTTTAGAATTTTGTGTATTGATTAAATCTCAATTGAATTTAATTTCTATAACTGTTTTATTACACAATATATAGTTTGATGAATACGTTCTGGAGGCCAGTCTTTATGCCCTGTCAAAGGTGGGACGTCTTAGTGTCACCGATAGGTATGTTATCTATATTTAAATTTGCATTTTTGAAGTTTGTTTTTAAAATTAAATTAAAAAACTAATTCTTAGAGCCGATCCGATCAAAGTATGTCGACATATATCAGCCATTGTGAACAGTGTGGACGACAACGGAATTATGGTCGGCAACTGGAAAGAGGACTTTGGTGGGGGCACTGCACCCACCGATTGGCACGGGAGTCAAGCAATTATGCAACAGTTTTATAAAACCAAACGCCCCGTTAAGTTTGGCCAGTGTTGGGTCTTTTCGGGACTCTGTGCCACAAGTTTGTGCCATANTACCAAGTCGTGTGATAACGAACTATCAATCGGCTCACGACACGCACACCAGTATTACTGTCGACCGTTTCTTTGATGAAGAAGGAGAGCCCATCAAAAGCCTAAACACTGACTCCATCTGGAATTTTCATTCATGGATTGAGGTTTGGATTAAAAGGCCAGACCTTTCAATGTCCGGAGAATACGACGGGTGGAATGTAGTCGGTATGAGTCTATATAGAAATATACACTACATGTGCTGTGCCTTAAAAGTAGTGATTGAAATATAATAAATGTTTTTGAATAGACGCGACCCCACAGGAGCCGTCTGATGGCCTGTACCGGTGCGGACCCACTAGTGTTGAGGCCATAAAACAAGGCGAAGTCAACAGACATTTTGATGGAAAGTTTGTTTACGCAGAAGTAAACGCCGATGAAGTATTTTGGCTTTATTTGGGACAAAAGCAACCTGTTAAACTTATATCTCAATCAGCGGATTCGTACGTTTTCAGTACAGTATTGTTAAATGAAATGAAAGTTAACAAAAAGAAAATCTATTTTTATAGCATTGGTTTGAATATTTCAACGAAAGCTGTGCTCCGAAACACTCGCGTAGACATCACTGATAACTATAAACATAAAGAGAAAAGCGCTGAAGAAAGGGAAACAATGATTAGGGCCTTAAGGATGTCTCGAAACCAATATTCAAGATATTATCTCAACGAACAGTTTGAAGACATTAGATTCGAGTTCTTACTTCTCGATGATGTCCTCATTGGCAGCTCTTTTACGGTTCAGACAATTCATACAATTAGATATCAAATTCTAGATTTATTTATGATTTTTGTGAATTAGGTTCGACTAAGAATGCATAACAGAAGTAATAAAGTTTATACCATAAACTCTATTATCGG